TCATTCACATGGAAACAAATGATGTGGCCAGGAGTAGTTCAGACCACATCATAAGAGACTACAGGGCTTTGGGGATCAGGCTTAGGAAGACAGGGGTGCAGGTGGTCTTCTCATCAGTCCTCCCAGTCAGTGGTCACAGTAGACATTGTGTCACCTGTGCCAGAGAAGTCGACCCTTGGCTGGTGTGGGTTTTGGCTTCCTGGACCATGATCCACACTTCTGTGCAAGGGACCTCCTGGGACAGGATGGGCTTCATCTCTCCCCAAAAGTTAAGGGTCTCTTTAATTACAGGTTGGCTGATCTATGACTGACTTCAAAGTAAGTACGACAGGGGATGGGGAGGCAGGAGATGTAGAGAGTCTAGAACCTACAAACTGCGAGACATGCAGCAGTACACCCAGTTAAGTACTAAGGGGCCCTTTGGGCATCAGAATGGGGGGGGCGGGCACCAAAGGCACCATCTGGAGGACTCAAGTGCCTCTATACTAATGCTAGAAGCATGGGGAGCAAGCAGGAAGAACTCGCACTTCTGCTTGCAAATAATAACTTTGATTTAGTGGGGCTAACGGAAACCTGGTGGGACTCGACCCATGACTGGGTGGTACACACTGAGGGCTAACAGGCTGTACAGAAGGGACAGAGTAGGGAGGAAAGGGGGTGGGGTTGCTCTCTATGTAAAGGAGCATTATAAATCTACCCTAGTCAAAATGGGATCAGAGGAGGAGAAAGTTGAGGCATTATGGGTTAGGATACATGGAGGCCATGGGCAAAGGGACTTTGTGGTGGGGGGTCTGCTACAGTTCACCACACCAGGAGGAGAAGCTAGACTTGGAATTCTTGAGACAGCTCTCAGAGGCCGTACAGTTTAGGGATGTGGTTGTCATGGGGGACCTAAACTACCCTGACATCTGCAGTCAGCCAAATCCAACTGTTCATGTAGGTTCTTAACCTGTGTGCAGGACCTTCACCGAATGCAGGAGGTATATGGTCCCACTAGGGGGAATGCCTTACTGGACGTGGTGCTGGCTACGGGGGAAGACCTGGTAGGGGAGCTGCAGATTTGTGGTCACCTTGGGGACATTGATCACCAATCAAATGAATTCACCATACAGCGTAGGGTGGGTAAGGTAACTAGTAGGGTGGAAGTGCTTGACTTTATGAAGGCTAACTTCAGTGTGCTCAGGAGTGTAGTCAATGATGCACTGCAGGACAGGAATATTGGCGAGATGGGAATCCAGGAAGGGTGGTCATTCCTAAAGGAAGCAATCATTAAGGCACAGCGGGAGACTATCCCAGTAACAAGGGAAAGGGGGAAAGGAGACAAAAAACTTCCTTGGTTATAGAGGGAAATCCAGGGGAGCCTAAGAACAAA